GTGTGTGTGTGTGTGTGTGTGTGTGAATGGAAAGTTTTAGTTGGCAAGAAATAAAGCAACTAACATCAGTATTGAAGCTTTACATTGCACTAAAGGAGCATTGTTTTTTTATGCAGAATCTGTATTTTATAAAAGATAATAATAATACTCATTCATACATCATCATCTTTTTGATTATCATCAGTGGACTATTGACATGTTATGATATCTCCTGTACTTATATAATGTCTTTGGCCTGAGGTTGTGCTGCAGGATCTTTCTAGATCTGCTCAGCAGCCACAGTCACACACTGTCATCTGCTGGCTGAGCACTGAAGTGATCAAATTCTCACAGCGTTGGTGTTTGTGGCCTGGACAGTGATTTGATGGACTGAGTTGATTAAGATGCAGACGAATGTTGAATATTTAACCTTTACACACAAGAAAACAGACCACAGTCACTGTCACTTTTATTTATAACAGCTTCAAATCATCTGACATGAGGGGAAAGAAACTGAATCATATTGAATCAGAAATATGGCTGATCACTTACTAAGACTACTAACAACCAAGTAACAGAGAGTCTTATTTATGTTAAATTTATTTGAATTTTCACTACCTCTCTTCGTTCAAAAGTGACAGATATTTGAATGTGTCCGCTTCTGCTCCAGCAAAGATACCTGAGCTTAAATCCAGATGAAATAAACACATTTAAAGCAACACCTTAACTTATTAAGAGTATGTAAACACAAAAACATTAATAAAGATATGCATATTAGGGGAATGAGCAAGATTTTACTTTCTGTTGTTTCATATTAAGTAATAATTTAAATTCAATTAAACAATATAAAATGGGTGGACAACCCAGAGTTTTTCTAATTCAATAAATGCACATAAATAGATTTGTAACCATTTTCCAGTACACATATTTTTTGTATTAATGAGTAATTTAAACCACGCATTAGACAGAGTGTGACACTAAGTTCGGCCACTAGAGGTCAAGAGTGGACAATTATACGGTGGCCTGATAAGCCAAACCATGAATCTGACAGCCTGTGTCTTAATGTGAAGGACTCTCCAAACTTTTATATCTGCTAATGGTAAAACTAGTGATAAATGATACAGTCAAGAAAATAATAGTTTTTAAGTTTCAATATTTCAATTTAAAGTATAGGAAGCAAACATTTATAAATGGAACATGGTCTGAGGGTTTGGGTTAGTTTGGGTTTGACTCTTGTATGAAGTGTTCAGCACAGGTGAAAATAATTTGCATGGAAAAGTTATTTAATTCATACAAAGGCAGTATTAGTATTTTCTAGCAGTTACTTAAAAAACGTATTCATTCAGTAAAGTTATAGCTATAAAGAACTTCAAAATCCAAAACAATGGAAACAGATGTATAAGAATCAGCAGTGATCAAATTATAGCTCAAAGATGGAGTAGTTGTTGTTCAACTTGGTTGATTGACTAAACCAATCTAGTCATAATAAGTTATTAAGGTATGTTTCAGTTTGTTTTCTAATCTTTTGACTTCTGTTTTCCAGGGACGTTTTCATTTGAAACATTTGTGTTGTTCATGGATCAGAATGTAATGTTTTTAAAGGTCCAGTGTTAAGGATTAAGGGGATGTTGTTGGCAAAAATTAAAGATATATATATATATATTTACTTCTTCAGTACCAAGCCTGTGCATCTGACCGCCTTCCTGGCCTACAAGACCATGTGTCTGTGAGGTTGACAGACCTGGATCAGAGGTGAACATGAAGGGAGTGGTGGAGGCTGTGAATGTTGAGGAGACACCTCTCGTGATTGTGACTAAAATTGTTGGAAACATCCTGAACTGAACTGGTTCAAGACCATCATTGCAGAGCAGTCGTCAGTTCTAATTGAGTCCAAAAGGAGGCTCTAGATTCCTTTTTTTATGTAACCTGAAGGCCAATTTTCAGCAAACTTATAAAACATTAATCGGTCTAACTTGAGGATGAAATGATGAGCTGATTCAACTCATTAAATACAGTTTAAAGAGAAAGAAAACTCAGACGTTAACAGACTTCCAAGCATAAACTGCTTGTTCAAACTGTCTAGAGACCTTCTTCTTCTTCTTCTCTTGATTTGCGTCTTTCATGCTGCTCACAATGAAAACAAGGCGAAGCAGCTTGGAAGCTTGGCTCATCTGCAATTGCAAAACTGTTTATAAAAGTGGTGCTCAAGCATTAAACCACAGGATTAAAAGCAGATAAGATAACCAGATTTGTTGGAATGAAGACTTGCTGACATGGTAAACGCCTGGTTTGTGACAAGTAGTCCACCAGGAGTTATCTCTGTGACTGAGTCGTTACCTAACACACACTTTGGTAAACCTGAGGATCAAATGACAGTGGTTCAAATTAGGTCAAAAACTCTGGATCCTATAGGTGAAGTCAGAACATCTAAATAGACGTGTGGACGTGTAGGCCGAGCACAAACAACACAGCAGCTCCACAGGCTGCGTTCAGTCCCCTGTGCAGCAGCAGGGACCGGAGTGACGGCTCAGGCCTGCAGCTTTCTCAGAAACAGGGTCATCACAACCAGCAGGTGGGCTCCTCCATTTGTTTTCACAGGCAGAAGTGGTGACACAGCACTATTGATACAGGTGTGTGTCACTGCTGGTTGACTTTAATGAGTTGGTGTCATTGCAGCAGGACGCACAGGTAAACTCACTACTATTAATGGAGCATGATAAAATCATAAAAGCTCACAGGAGTATGTAACTTTATTATAAATGTCTTTCCTCGAAGGTAATAGAAGACAGGCAGGTCTGGACCAATGGGATTCCAGGTTGTGATTCGTGAAAGCAAAGCCGCGTTTCCTATTGGTGCGCTGAGCAGACGTGGGCGGGGCCTAGGCGTGCGTCCTAACCAAAACAAGCTGGATGTCTTCACCGAGACAAGCTTTCACCAGAGTCCGGGAACAGAGGAAGAGTTTGACCGAATGGAGCCACCGTGCCCCGCCTGAGCCTCCAGCGGAAACACGGCAGGGCTGTCAGGTAGGAAACGAGTCTCTCCTGCTGCTTCTATCCACAGTGATCCGGACTTTTAATGCAGCGACACCCGATTCATTTACGCGTGAAACTGTGGACAAGCCCAAACTTGAAAGTCAGTGCTGTGGCCTTTACTTTAAAATCGGTTTGTCTGTGGTGTCTGGCCTCATTACAATCCCCTTGCAACTGTTGCTTTGTTTTTTAGAAAGTAGTTCCTCCATTCTGTAGTGGGGAAACAACCAATGAGACGCCACTGCAGGTGCAGGACAATGGGAAGACTGTTGGGGTTCAACCTCCCAAAACACATGCAACAAACTGACTCTCAGAAGAGAACATCGAGGCCACACAGGCAAAACCCTCACCTTTTATTCGCACCAGATTGCACACACTCATACATCTCAGTCCCCCCAACACTGTGTGGTTGTTTTGAAATCAAGCTCCATTCTGAGTAATCAATAAAAATGTTGAAAACATTTTTTTGAATCCACCCCCTGATCTGGATCCACAGCAAAATTGAATGGCTTCTTCCCTGTCCCATACCGTACACTTGTACCAAGTTTGAGGGCAATCCGTCCAGTAATCCTGCTAACTCACAGACAGAAAAACAAATTAACAAATGCAGATGAAAACATACCCTGCTTGATCCACTACATCAAGATTTTTATTTGGATCTGCACCAAATTGCACATACTCATAGATATCAGTCCCCTAAATATTCCTGATTTTCACAAAGATTCATGAATTCTTATTATTTTGGGAAATTGGTGAAGATGTTCCAGAACCAAAAATGTCCTGATCCTTCCCCTTGCCCACACCTGTGCCTAAAATTTAAAGGTCCAGTGTGTAAGATTTAGGTGAAAAGGAACTATTGGCAGAAATTTAATGTAGAATAATCCGTATGATGTTTTCACTAGTTCGTTTCATCTAAATTGCATGAATTGTAGTTTTCTTTAGCCCAGAAAAGGCCCTTTATATTGAAATACTTTATATTTACATGGAGGGGGCCATGTTTTTTTACATTATTCCAGACTGAAAAAACTAAATGCCTTTTGAGTTTTTATGGGTGAGGTGAGAGGTGTTCAGCTGCAACGTAAATTCCAACACTCTATATCACAAAATTGTACACACTGTACCTTTAAGGTGTTCTTACTTGGCCCGTGTCCCATCCTTCTACCATGTTTCAGGGGAATCATTTCAGTGGTGTTTGCGTAATCCTGCTGACACAATCAAACAAAGCAGCAATCCAACAAGCTAACTGACAGGGTTGGCGGAGGCAATAAGCCAAACTACAAACCCACGGTCTTTTAGTATTTCCAAATTCACTCAACGTCTCAGTGTCACAGAACGAGCTGCGAGTGTCCTTTGTGAGCTGGTATTTATGACACAGCTTTCATTTGCAGTCCAGATCCGGGGCCACCAAAAGGCATCTGTTGGTTTTATGGGGCACCTTTTGTAAAGTGGTGCATGCCGGAATAAACAGCAACATTTAACCACATTTAATCAATGCTAACAAAAGTTGTTCTATTGCCAGATTTACAACAATATTTGTAAATACACTTTTATCTAATTGTAATGTTAAATCTAAATGTAACATCTAAATCTAAATCCCTCCATTAGTTATACTGCTGATCTCTTGCTGCTGACAGCGGGGGGGAGAGGCGGGGTACACCCCGGATGACCTCGCAGACAAAAAGACATTCAACGCTCAGGTTAACTTTTATGTTAAGCGAGTCTGGTATCTTCAAAATGCATACACCTAGGATAAAAATCCGATCTGTGAGTTGCAAAATAATTGGATGTGCCTTCACATGGAACCAAACCAGGTTTGATCACATTGCAGCAAGTAGCTTGTTCCTGTGGCGTGTCATTTTACAAACAACAACCACATAAAGAAAAAGCTTAGACTGCCATGAGGTTCTCCTCAAACTATTATTTGTCTTTCACCTTTTTCTGCACAAACTGAGTCTTGGAAAAAGTTAAAAAATATGTGAACTCTTGGGTGAGAAAATGGATTTGTGATCTAGTTAACAGGAACATTTCTTCAGTGAAATGCATTTGAATTTAACATTTTTAGACAAAGTGCTTGATTTAAAATAATACTTAACATTTGAGAGCTTTGACGTCTGGTTTCATAAGAAAGTCTTGTTTGAAGTAAGTAAATAATAAGTTAACTGAAGGCATTAGATAAGATCCTAAGATAAGATGTTGATTTCGATCGTAGACATCCCCAAAACACTGGAAAATGTCCTCCTTGGAGTGTGATGCAGAATCCATCAACACACAGCTCGGGGCTCATATGACAAAATGTTTGTTTCTCAGTGCAGTGCTTCTGTGTGTGTCTGTTGCAGGCCTACTGTTAGTGTCGGGTGACAATGGACCCCAACAGTGAGACCGGGAAGATGACCTCTTACCTCCCAGGCAGCTCAACCTCAGAGACCCAGAAACTGGCCCCACTCAGAGGCCCAGGTACACACGTACATTTCTTACTGACATCAAATAATGACATTGTCAGAGGACGGTGGCTCTGATTATTTAATTTGGATTCAGTTTTTGTATTCCTTGGCTTCTACCGCTTCGCTGAGCCTCTGTAAACTAGTTAGTCTTCTATAAAACCTGAAGATCAGTTTGTCAACCGCTAATCTTCAGTCTGTTCCAGGAAGCTACTTAACTCGAGTTATCTAGTTTACTGAGTACACCTCCCACCAACCTGGAACTTGGACTGCATGCACTGCATAAAGTCCTACTTTTGAGTTTTAGTCAGCAAAGTTTATCCAGAGATAACTCAGTAAACTTGTCTCCCTGGATAAGGTGTTTTTAAAAAAAGGTGATCAATCAGCTGAAATAAAAACAGAGTTTTCTGTGTCTGCAACCGCCTCTCAAGCTTGGATTAATGATGAAACCAGAAGTGGTTTATGACTGTATTTATCGTCATGGGTTGGTCACCCTGACCTGAGTGGCACAAAATCAAAAATGTGACATTAACTCATGACCGAGTATCAAGTCATCTGTGTTAAAACACTTTCTTCTAACCTGTTGTCATATTTTCAATTTGACCCGAAGAGATGGTGCAGATTAACCATGTCACCTTACACTAAAACATTGTCCTGTTCAAATCATGCAGACCCCACTGACAGAGGTGTTTGTTCACTCTGACAGTCCAGAGACATGCAGCTTAGGTTGAGTGGAGACTCTAAATTGCCCGTAGATGTGAATGTGTTTTTGTAAAGAAATTGCTGGATTTACCGCATTCCCCTTAAAGTCTCCAGATACCTTCGCCGGTCAGCTCGCAGCAGATTGTAATCTAGTGACATCAGATGTACCTGAGACGGTGTCGAGGGTCAACCAATCACATAGATGTGATTGTAAATCAATACCTAATTGAATATAAAGGGCCTTTTCTGGGGTAAAGAAAACTACAATTCATACAATTTAGATGAAATGAACTAGTGAAAACATCATGAGGATTATTCTACATTGAACTTCTGCCAATAGATCCCTTTCACCTCACTGGACCTTTAAATTATGTATGTGCATCAACACAGACCACCGCATAATGATGACATTTTTTTTTCTTATGGGTCAAATCTTATTACACATTATTATTGATTCACCGAGCTTCTCCTTGATCCATTCTCTCCCTCTCCCTCCTTCTCACATTGACACACACACAAACACAAACTCCACTTTCCAGTGTCTCGCCCTGGCGGTTTCTTGTACTAATTTAAATTTGTGCAGAACCTCTCTTCCCTAAAGTGAACGCTGAGTGTAAGGTTGATAAACGTTGATCTGCTAATGAGAAATAAACACGATGCTTGATGCTTTGTTCACCCAGTGGTTGTACAATGTGTGTGTAATCTAACCTGGATTTGCCATCTGTGTGTGTGGACTCACTGGCCACTGGCGGTTGAGTAAGTTAATGTGCTTTAAAATGCAAAAGTAGTGCACAACAGAGTTTATGTAACCAGCTCACACGGACCCACACCAGTCTGAGGAAACTAGAGACTGCTGTGAGTGTAAATCCCAAGAGATCAGTAGTTTCACAAATAATAAGTCACATTTTTCCTCTTATTCTGATGTTTGATGTGAGCAATAACTGAAGCTCCTTGCTTGTATTTGAGAGGTTTTATGCATTGCACTGCTGCCACATGATTGGCTGATTTGCACGAATGAGCAAGTGTAGGGGTTCTTAAAGTGTTACGCAACATATTTGAATATTTCAGGATTAAAAAACCTGAAATAGACATTTGCCGACAGATTTAGTGGAATTTGATGTAGTTTGACATTTTAAATATTTGATTTGTATTATTAGAAAATGTCCTTTAGGCAGAGAGAAAGAGGGAGGGTGTGCAGTGCAACAGTCAAGACAAACAACTGTGTCTGTTGTTTTTCTTGACTCCATGTGTCGATATTAAGTAAAAGATTTTACTTTTGAAAGTCACAGGGGTTTTGAAATTTGAAACTTCTCATATCAGTGTAATGAGCTCATCAGTTATCGTCCCCTATCTGTCTCACGATAATGATAATGACAGTTCAATGTGATGCATGTAAGACCCTACACACACACACACACACACACACACACACACACACACACACACAC